TAATACAAAATTTGTATAATTGTTTACACTTTTGATGTTGTAATTGTATAAATTCGTTATTTTGAATTTATACAAAAATATCTGAATTATACAAATGTACCCGTGAATTATATAAACCTGTGAATTATACAAATCTGTGAATTATAAAAACGAGGCAACTTAAACTGTAGCTACAGCTCGTAAATATGCAAACTATGCTATGAAGCATAATTAAGTTTATTATAGTGGTTATTTGCGAAAGTTCTCCTATAATTAATTAAATCAAATACCTTATACTATTTGAAATTTAAATTTCAAAATTTGTAGGTTCTTAGTGACTTTTTCATAAAAAGGGAAAGGGGAAAAAAATATAAAATCTGGTTAATTATGACAGAAAAACAAATTTCTGACTTTATCTGCAAACACTTGCAAAATTAAGTATCTTCATTTCCCTTTCTCCTTGATGTAGAAATAGATTTTGAATCATTCCAGAGGAAGAGGAAGAAAAGTATAGTCAAAACAATTAAAAACCTTATGAAGTAGTCCATATGTATATGAACTTGAAACATTCCAATAATATAAAATAGTACTCCCTTCGTCCCATTTTATATGAGGTAGTTTGATTCGGCACAGAGTTTAAGAAAGAAAGGAAGACTTTCAAAACTTGTGGTCCAAAATGAATGATAGAAATTTGTGTGGCTGTAAATCATTTCATTAAGGGTAAAATAGACATTTTATAGTTAAATAGTTACTTAATATAGAAATGTGTCATTCTTTTTGGGACCGAAGAAAAAGGAAAGTAAGTCACATAAATTGGGATAAAGGGAGTAACTAATTTTATTATGTAAAATAATTAATTAATTAATATCGTTTGTCATGTGTAGGGGTGTTCACGATTTGGATAAAAACCGATCCAAACTAAAAAATCGAACCAACCGATTAGATTAATCGATTTTATGTGAGCTTGGTTTGGTTTGATTTTAGATTTTAAAAAACTGATAGTATTTGGGTTGGTTATGACTTTGTTTGAAAAAAACCAAAGAAATAACCGAATCAAACCGACAAATGATATAGATATATTTTATTATTATACATACATAATATATTATTTTTTAAAACATTTTAAAATATCTTATATACATTTTAATCAAAATTTATTTATATTTACTTATGAAGGCAACAATGTCCAAAGTGAGAACATTTATCTTATTGGCTTCATGTATATGAGTGTCTATGACAATTCTTTGTGTGATTGAAAATGTCATTGTCTCTTCCTTCTAGGCCAAAATAATGAATTTTGAAGCTTTATTTGTAGTAAATTCAATAATAGAAAGTTATGTAATGTGAGACATTCTTACTATTTTTCATTTTGAATGGATTGTTGTCACTTTTTCACATTTTGAATGAATTGTTTCTTTTATTTTTGTATATGGTTAATAACCGAACCGAAACCGATAACAATCAAACCGATAAATGTATATTATATTTGGTTTGGTTTAATTTTGATGATTTTAAAACCAATTAAGTTGGTTTAGTTTTGACCAATAACCGATCCAAACCACCCCCGTGAACACCTCTAGTCATGTGGATAGTCATTTAAGATTATTTAATGTATTATGAATATAATTGGGCTCCAATACAGATATCGAACACTGATAAAAAAAATTATTTTTAAGAAACTAGAGAGTTGACTCGCGCTCAACTTGGCTCAAACATGATTAAGCTTGAGTTCGGATCGACTTGACTCGACCTTATTCACTTATGCTAAAATATTCGGGATATCTCTAAATAAAGAGTTAATACAAGACATAACACATAAATAAGCATTTTAACTTGTCCACAACTGAACAATTTAATTTTGTGGATACACATATAGATACCTCAACTCGTTTTAAATGTGTTGGTTGAACACTTTAACTTACAAAATAATTATCTATGTACCTCTAAAATTTATGTGTCGACGTCGGGTGTCAACGAGATACAGTAAAGACAAGTCAAAGTGTCTAGATGTGCATTCTCAAAGTTGAATTGTTTAGTTGTCAGTTGCGAGATCAAGTTAAAGTGTTTATCTATATATTCTATCAATATATAAATATTCAATCACTAACTGCTTAAATTAAAAATAGATAAATATGTATAATCGTGTATAATTTATATATACCAACTAGAAAAAAAGTAAACAATAAATTCAACCGGCATTTGAACAATAATAATAGGCTCATAACAATTCTAATATACTCATAAATTTATTTAAAATACAAAAGGTATTAAAGCCTTAACATTTCTAGGAAAATCTTCAAATTTGGAAAGGTACCATTTCCTAGTAGCATAACTCCTCCCAATCAAATAAAATAATGTCCCTATGGTAGAAGAAAAAGAAAACAAAGTTTGGCTAATAAGAGAAAAACCAAAAAATGTGACAATCTCAAAAAGGTAATGTGGACAAATAACTAAGTTAAAGAGGCCACCTTTGGGAATTTTATATCCACTTTCACCCTTTTTCCTCATCTTAGAAAGAATAAAATGGTGATAAAAATTGCCAATAATTCCCACTAAAAATACAATAAAACCAAAATACTTCAAGTCAATTATTGGCTCTATTGATCCTTTTGTCAAGTGTTGAATATATATTAAGCTTGAAAAGGCTATAAAATAGCTTGAGGAAATAGTAATTGCAGAGTTCATAGCCATGGAACCACTATATTTGTGCACAAACAAAACCTGCAAAATATGTAAATTGTATGTTAATACTTAATTGCTAGTCTCTTAAACAATCATTTTTCTCTTTACCTATCTGGACTATCGCCTTGTCGCAAGTTTCATATCTCAACTATCACTCTTTTTGTATTAAAACACATCTCAATATTGATTTGGCCTATACGTGTCAGACTGTTAGTTATCGACTGGGAATAAATATTTGGCCAACTTAGCATCCAAGAATATTTTAATATAAAGAGATCATTAACTCTTAAATAAATAAATAAATAAAAAATTGTGTGTACATTTTGGCATTGTATTTTAGTCTATTTTATTTTTAGTCCTTGCACAGTCAGATTTAACAAGTTTAATCACCATTAAAAAGTGTGGTGAAATGGTATTATGGTAACAATTTCTACATTTTTAATAAAATGTATCGGATTTGAGACCTAAAATTGACACCCTCTTTAGTAAGGAGCAGAAAAATCTTCCACAATTAACTTTTTATCATGTAAATTTGAATTAATCAATCCAGTAATATAAAACATTAAATAGTAACAAATAATCTACCTTAATTTCAAAATTATAAATTTCACTTTTTTTTATCGTATCGATGCATGTAAGTTAAACTGAACAAAAAGAGTAAGATGATTAATTACCTCAAGAAGTCTTTTGAAGAGATGAATGGTAATAGCGAAATTAAGCATGAAAAACCTGATTCCACCATTTGGGAATATCCAAAAGAAGCTTAAACATGTAATTAAAGTAGGAGTATAAGCAATAATCATCCCAATTTTGCTTGGGATTTTAGCTTTTTCTTGAGATTTCAAATTCCAAAACTTTGAATATTCAAGATTTTGTTTGCCTGAGCCTTCTGAATAACCCAATATTGCTGAAAATATTAAATTCATCATTATCATAACTTTGATAAATATAGAATTTGGTTCTTGAAATAATATTTCTCTAAATATTTGTGCCATAATTGGTTTCTCTGTTTATTGTTTAGGATGTGCGTGGATTGATTTTTATTGGATTAGGGGTAGAAAAGGACAAAATAAAAATATTTGAGGACTGAAGTGTTTAGAAAATAGCAACTTACAACTGGTTGGCTATAATAATAATAAGAAAATATGAAATACTATACTAGATCTACAAGCCAAAAATAAAAAAAGAAATATTTTTTTGAAAATACTTTTCAATTTTTCATGTATGATTGATTAATATATATATTATTTTTAAAAAAATATATTGATGAGAAAAGGCCAAAACTAAAAATGAGGATGGAAAAAAAATCAAGATTGTAGTCATCTATTTGCCACGATTCATAACTATCAATCATTTAAATTAATATAATACTATCTATCAATAAAACATTTTGCATTTTGTATGGTGATTAGTGATAGTAATGGCTATAAGTAATCGTTATATTGTTAATTGGGGATGATGTTGACTAATGGTTGGATGTTGGTAGTAGCTAGTGGTTTGTGGTTGACAGTATATGTTGATGGTGGTAGTAATCAGTGCTGATAATGACTAATAATTATGGTGAATGATAGTGATTAATAATGACAGTGATTAGCGATATATAACATGGTGGTTGATGATGATGATTGGTGATGGTTGTGGTAATTGTAGTTAGTGATAATGATTGTAAGTGGTGGCTAGTGATTGTGACAAAAGATTAGAGTGATCGACAACAATGATGGTTGTAGTGGTGAGTGGTGACACACAATTGATAAAGGTGGGTGACAATGACAATAGTTGATAATGGTGGATGATGACAGTAACAATGAATGAATTAATGAAATTGATGAACTACAAATTTTGTAGAAATCTTTAAATAGACACCTTAATGATATGAAGATTTTATTATGAATTTTAATTATGCAGATCTATTCATACTCATTAAGTACGGGTTATCGGTTGAAACATAAAAACAATACTTAATGATTGAAATCTTATTTATTAAGATTCATACATTGAACTTGTAATTCTTTTTTATTTCACTTATCACTTTGCCACACCTCTTTAGTCGTTTTATTATGATTCAGCATCTTAAGCTTAGAACAAGTATATATTGAAGATGAATATAAATATATACCCCTTGCGAAGTCAGTCAATTTTATTATGATTCAGCATATTAAACTCAAAAAATATATATATTAAAGACGAGTATAAGTATATACCCCTTCCAAAATCGTTTAATTTTTTTTAATTAAAATTAAACATATTTTAAAGGATCTACATAAATAACTCATAACTTATAATACTTGTTCAACATAACCACATAAACAAAAATTGAAGGTCCTATTGCAAGTTATAACCTAAAATATGTAAGGAATAAGTGCCTTAATATCCTTTGGAAAATCATCAAACTTTGACTTGTACCATCTTCTTGTAGCAATGCTCCTTCCCATCAAGTAAAAGATAGTTCCCAAAGTGAATGAAATTGCATATAATGTTTGAGAAGTGCAAGAAACTCCTACAAATATAAGAATCTCAAAAAGGTAATGTGGGCATATGACAAAGTTAAATAGGCCACCTTGAGGAATTTTGTACTCTTTTTCACCATTTGTTCTCAACATAGAGAGCAAAATATGATGATAAAAGTTACCAATTATACCAACCAAAAATATTATGTATCCACCATACTTGAGATCAATGGATGGCTCTAGCAAATCTTGAGAAAGGTGTTGACAATAAATCATGGTAATTGTGGAGAGGAAATAACTTAATGATATTACAATTGCATCTTCAACATCCATTGAACCACTGTATTTGTGAACAAATAGGACCTAGTATAAACAAAGCAAAGGAATTAGGATTTGTTCAAGATAAGTTTGTAGCTAACTTCACTAAAAGAGACTAGTTTAAATGACACTTTTTTTAATGTTTCCCATCCGGTATATATATCTAGTATCTGCTTTGGGACCAGACTAATCGGGGTTAATTCGCACCTAGAAGTCCCACTTTTAAGCTATCAAAGGTGACTTCATTCTCAATGCTTGAGCGGATTATCTAAAATTATGTTATACTTATGTGTCAAATCCTCTAAAAATGAATTAGTTTTGGAAGATCCAATCAGCATACACCCGACAATGACATTTCTAAAGATTTCAAGCGACATAGACCAAAATTTCTGATTAAAGAAGGATACTTGCCACTCCATCGCAATTTTTCATGCTATTAAAAGAACACACCATTCACAAGTACCAAAACTACATAGTGGTGGACCTTGTTGTTCTCATGTTCTAAGGGGCATAAGGCTATAAATACACTACAATTGGGACCACATTGGTCTAAGTTTGAATTGTGTCAACTAGAGGATAGGGTTGTTACTTAGGACCATTGAAATGCAAATACCTTAATTGAATTAAAAGAGCAAAATTAAATTCCATAAGCATAAAAGATATATTAGTTGAAGAGTAAGTAATACCTCCAACACTCTCTAGAGGAACTATACATCATATTCAGTATGTTCAGTATTATAAGGTGTATAACTAATATACAACAAATCATGATATTAGCAATACTGAAATTATTAATGCATGGCCAAACATGTTTAAAGACATAACTACCCCTTGAATAAACCAATCCAAACAATAAATTATTTTTAAAAAAAATTATTATTATTTTTACACTATACCAAACGACTTCTCATATTATCAAAAAAAACAATCATGAAAGAAAGACTAGTTGAAGAGTAATTAGTAGTACCTCTAACACCCTCTTGAAGAAATGTATGGATAAAGCAGAACACACCAAAACAAACCTTAAATCTCCATCTGGAAAAATTGCAAATGAAGAAATACCACCAAGAAATGAAGGACCATATAATAAAAGCATCCCTAATTTACTCTCAATTTTTACCCTTTTTTTCTTCTTCTTCTCATCATTTTCATTTTTTATTGTTACAAAGAATTTGGAATATTGCATATGCTTTCCTTTAATTTCTGAAAATCCAGCATTTGCTATTGAAACAACACTTATAATAGACATTGTAGAAATAAACAAAGATGGTGGTGGAGGATATAGAAATTTCAACAATGTAGACATCACCATTTTTTCCAATTCTTGAAAAATGTATCTTTTTTTTGTGTATGTATGTATGTCTATAGAAAAATGAAAAAAAAATGAAAAAAAGTTAACTAATTTTGTGCTATTTGTACTCTTGTTGGATTTTGGTGTATTTGACTAGTTGAAAAAGTAGAATTTTAAGAGCCACACAATTAAGTGGGAGTAACAAATTTGGAGAAATAGAAGGAAAGGGGATATATATTATATATATATATCTAAATAAAAAGTTATGAGTGGTATTTGGAGTGCTTTATTAAAGACCTACGTGGTCACAAATTTTGCCAGTTAAATTTGTAGGTTGATATAAGTGACAAGGGTCCAAAGTAGGTAACGATTATTCGGGTGTATTAAGCTTCTGCTATATGTAAGATCGAAAAAGTGTTGAATTACAAGAATTTATTCTATACATCCTTTCATTGTATTTCTGCGAGATTATTTCTACGACTCAAACTCATGATCTTTTGATCACATAATAGGAACTTTATCAATTACATCAAGGCTTCTCTTCACAGCAAAGGGGAAGAAAGAGGAATATAAAGGTCTAAAATATGGCACAACATATATCATAAGGTGATTCCATGGGCATGAAAACAAAGTCTTGCTTTAATACTCCAATGGATATGAATCGGGGTGGATTGAGAAAAATTTGATGGGTTAAAGATTTAGTTTTATCCAATAGAAAATCGTCATGTAATAAATGTAATAAATAATAGTAATTTTTAAAAAAGTTGTTAGTTATAAGGGTAAAAGTAGGTCAAAAAGGTGGATTGAAGGGTATTTTTAAGTATGATCTACCTAAATATCATAGTGTTAAGAGTTAATTATATTATTTACCTACTTTTTTCCACATTACAAAATTCCCTTAAAATTTATGGATTTCAGATACATCAGTGGACTTCTGGATACATTAGCAGACATCCAGATATATAGGTGAGGGATGTATCCGAGAGGGGAGGGGTATCAGAGAGGGGATAGGACATCGGGATACATCACTAGACTTCCGGATACATCAGCAGACATTCGGATACATAGGTGAGGGATGTATTCAGGAGCAGACATTCAGATACATAGGTGAGGGATGTATCTAAGAAGGAAGGGATGTATTCAGGAGGGGGATAGGGATGTATCAGCGAGAGGAGAGTGATGTATCCGAAAGGAGATTTTTGATTATTTTTTTAAATGGTAGAAAATTTTAGAGATTATGGTAAAATAAGATGTGTATTTAGGTCATTTTTCTTATTTTAAACCAAACAGGTGAATGAGGAGTATATTTAAACCTTTTTGAATAGTCTAGGGGTACTTTCAGCCCTTTTCAGAATAAATAATCAAGTCCCAAAAATTACCAACACATATATGAAGTCAAGTCCCAAAGTTTTTACACATAACTAGTACTATTTATACATTAGTATAAGAGATAACACTAAATCTAGAACATGACCCTAGTTCAATCGATAGATAGATCGAAAACATATTTCTAGACAACAAACCGGTCAAACCAGTAACCAAGTTCATTATCATGTTAACAACTTCAATATGTCAAAAGGTGATTTCTTAAGTTGTATCTCCTTGTAATTGACTTGCTTCCTACTAAATTCTCAGCAATTTCTACAGGATATACAAAATCAGGATCCTTCAATTTATCAACATCTTCTAGTAATTCTTCTTCAATCCATGAAGACCAATCTACCGAATCGTCCGAATCGTCGTTCTCCATTTCCCATAACAAGTACTCCTTATGTTTTTGAATTCCATTAACTTTTTCCATTAGTGTTTGTAACATCTTATGGTTCAACACTTCATAATCTCTGCAAAAAAAATTATGAAAATTTGTTATGATGGTAAAACTAAGTTTTTGAGCTTATGTTCTGTTTGTTACCTGTATGTCCATATGGAATATAGAAGTTGGCATGAGGCTAATAGCACAAATAGTGACCTAATTATGCTTACAAACCATGCTTGATTCTCCATTTCGTATGATCTGTATCGAAGTATGGCTAGTTCAATCAAGAATGTGAATACTAAACCTACAACAAAAAGAGAAATGAAGCAACAATGATGAGAATCAAAATAGTCAAATAACAAAGTTGGTTTCGCGTTGGAAGGGTGCCTGGTTTCCAACCAGGCGCGTCCTTCCAACGCACCAAGGGATCCCACATCTTTTTGAAAGGTGTGATGATACTTTACCTATGTATAACCTAGGTCTCACGTCATATGTTTGCTTCGTGCTGGTGAACATGTAGAGAAGAAAGATCGATAACGAGTAAAGCAAGAAAGCTTTGATCACTCTTGATTCAAGAAGCATAGCATTGTGCAAGGTGAATAGCTTGTCTAAGGCAAGAAACATGCTTGCTTGTTTAGACTCAAAAGTTTCCTGTTGACACAATTTGATGAAAATTAATGAACAATTACAAGAAATTTAAGAGAATATGATGATTTGAGAATTAACAAACCTGAGCAGCTAATATTGATTTTGATTTCTCAACTAGATGATCATGAGTTTGTTGTAGTTGTTTTTGCCTTCTTAGAAGCTCCTCTTGTTGCTCGTGTCCGAATTGAGCCAATTGTTTCAGAGTTCCCCTGTAAAAGTATTAACATATTGCATTACATCAATCCTCAAATGTCGCGGAAACACTTAACAATGCACTTACACTATCAGGTTAAGTTGACCTACGACAATAAGTAAGGTATATAGTCGTAAGGAACATAAGAACCACACGAGAAGTTATGGTTGACGAGTTTTACCTGCTCTCTTCAAGTGCTTGAGACTGAAAATTATGAAGGAGTTGAAGGCCATCAAGAGCTTTATATTGTTCATCCAAAAGTTGTTTCTGTTTACTCAAAGCTTGGCCAGCAATATTCCCAATATCATTTGCTTTATTCTGCAATTTATCCATCCTACAACTCATTTCATCTCCAACTTTCACAATCTCATCTTCAATGTCCTCCGTTTTAGTCCTTAAACCATCGATCCCATGGTCTAAATTAGTATACGATTCATGAACTATCGCCATGTTTTCATGCAAACTCTCCTTCATTTTCGCCTGGCCTTCGTTCAACTCTAGTTGGGAAGATGCTATCCCTTTAGATTGCTCCAATATCACTTCTGACTGACTCAACACAGCGTTCACCCGGCCTTCAACATTCTTGGAAGTTTCTGCTACTTGTTGAGTACGAACATCAATCGAGGCTAATGATTCTTGAACATGTTTCGAGTTTTGCAATAGCAAATCCCCTACATGTAATATGTTGTCTAATTTTTCCTCAGCAAATTCAGCAGAATCCTTCAAACTATTCACCAACCTCTCTGTTACATGCTTCCATGCTTCTCTCCTGCAATTATCAAAATGCATAAGAGCCTCTTTACCTAGTGTATAGTATTGTTAAATTCATCCTCATGTAACAACGAAAGTCTCATTTTATGTATCGATCGCTTTGGTGTAATCTTATCTTAGCTTATTGTTTAGTAATAGTCTTAATAACTCTACAATATATCCAACTTTTCTATATAATATTGTAAGCTTATATTTCATATTGTTGATGTGTGGCATTATGTACAACAACAACATACCCCGTATAATCTCACAAGTAGGGTTCAAGAAGGATAGAGTCTACCTTAGAAGGTAGACAGGTTGTTTCCTATACACCCTCGGCTCAAGGAAAAACATAGAAAAGCAGTTCGGGAAAAGAAATATGAAAGTGAAGAAATCACGACAAAATACCTAATGAAAACATTACAAAACAATCTGAAAAAAGAACAGTAACTACAGCAAAATAATACTATAATCGAAGAACAAGACAAAAATTGAAGATCAAGAAACTACTTACGACCTCTAGTATGACATTATATAACGACCGTCCAAATACTGTATTCATCAAAACAATATATAGTTCAAACTAACCATGTGTCAAAAACATCCAAACAGAAGAAAAACTTACTGCAATTGCTGGCAAATGGCAGGGGTTTCAATATAGAAAGCCAAATAAATCTTATGAACATCATTATCCAATTTCTGTAAACATTTAGTCATTGATGATTTTGCATCACAATAAGGCAAAGGTGACCTTCCAGTATGTTGTTGAAAACAATCACATAAATTCCAAGAAAGTCTAGACTTCAATTCTTCATCAGGCAGAGCTTTTCTACATACACTAAACAAATTCTGATAACTTCTTTGCCAACAAGAATCTGTAATCAACATCTTTTGTTCCGCGCTTTTAACGAGTTCAATTCCCTTTTGTGAATTCTCAAAAACATCCATGGAGAAATCAGACATCAACTTAACAACTTTGTTGTTTGAAAATTTGCCTGAATTTGTTTGTTGTTCTTCTTGTTTATCATTTTTGTTATTTTTAGTAGAAAAGAACCAACCCCATGATGATGAACTTTGTAACAACAAAACTAACAACATAATCAACACCTTTTGTATATGAAATCGACCCATTTTTGTACTCAATCTGCACAACAACTCTGCAATTTCAAAATCGCAAAACTAAAAAGCTTATAGTAAAAATTAGACAAAAAATCAAAGTATATATAAAGGTTTTTTGGCAAACTTGGGGAGAAAGTATCGTTCGAAGTAAAAAAAAAAAAGTCTATGTATGCATGTATGATAAGTATAAAAGAAAGAGACACAAATTCTGACTACGACTCTGATGAAAATCCACGAAGTAAAAAAACTTATAAACTGGAAATTCTGACTCTGATTCTAATGAGAAAACAACAATTTGGAATTTTTTATTTTTTTTACATAGCGTCAAAAACAAGAAATTTCCATGTTTGGATTATTTTATGTTTTTGATGTACCTTTTCAATAATTAAAGTATTTCCAAAAGTGAAACTTTGCTAGTTGGTAAAGATGAAGAAAAAGGAAATAAAACCATAAAAAAATGAAGAAAAAAGAAAATCTTTGAATTATTTTTAAATTAAAAAACAGTACCTTAGACAATGAATCTAATTAATTAAGTCGGTATTTTTTTATATTAATCATAAAATAGACGAACGGTTATTAATTTCGCGCCCTTTCAATACCGGTTGTGTCCGTTCCTTTTATTTCCCTCATTTCGAAAATTAAGAAAGAAAAATACAAATATGTGTTGTTTTTTTAATTATTTGTAAGTGTGTTCGGTACGAAGTCAATTTTACCATACGATTGGTTAATTTTGTAACAAACAAAATTGTTAACAATGAGAAAAATGATTAATTTTCTTCTTAGTGAATATAGGAAAAAACAAGTTACATTCTATATTCATCGTGTCCTTCCCACCCTCCAACAGATTATATCCCATATCTCCCATCTCTATCACTCCACACCCGTAGCCCAGCAGCCTTCACTTCTCATAGTATTTGTTAGACCACTCATAGAGGAGTTTTCGAAAACAGTCTATCTATTTTCACGAATTAGTGGTAAAATCTGTGTACAGAGACTCTACATTTTCAGACCTCACTTGTGAAATTTCATTAGGTAGATTGTTATTGTTATTGATTTTAGAATAATATTTTTTTACTTATGCATTGAGAACAAGAAAATAGATTGTTATTGTTATTGATTTTAGAATAATATTTTTTTACTTACGTATTGAGAACAAGAAAATAAGAAAGAAATCCACTTATTTTTCAAAAAAAAACATTTTTCTTCATGCCGGACACACCCATTGTGCTTCTTCTTTTCTTATCTATTTTTTAACCTTGTGATATGTGTGATTATAAATTATTTCATTAATGATAAAATAGAAAATGTAAAGTTAAAATGTTTTTTAATTATATAAATGTGTCATTCTTTAGACTAATTAAAAAAATAGCATAAACGTAGATGTTTCAACTACCATCCAAAAAAAAATACATACTCTATATAATATAATATAATAAATATATTTAAATAGGGAACACATAGTGACAAGTGACAACTTAGGACTCCTGATGACCAAAACGTCACGGCTGCTCGAACCTTCTAGTAATACTTATTTTGGAAGAAAAAAAAACATAGGAAAGAAATAATGAAAACTATATATTTGAGTACACTATTAAAGAATAATTTGATCAAATATGAGTATTAAATATAGTTTGGAATTTGAAAATTTCTGCCATTTTTTATTTTTCTTGGTGTGAACTAGCAAAATAAATAAAGAGAATATCATTTTATACATCTTATAAATAACCATTGACAGCCAGAAATAACATAATTCATCTAAATAATACTCCCTCCGTCCCTGTTTCTTTTTCTTTTTTGATAATTATAGTATTTGAATCACTTTGCACACACCTCTAATACCATAGAATAACAAATACCGAATAACTCTTTCCACCAAACTAAGACAGGTGAGTCCTTCCTTTCCATTTTAATGGTCACTTTAGCTTAAAAAATTTATCTCAAAACAATTACCATACAAATCATACTCGTAAATAAAAAGTCGTTCTTAATATATCTCAATCCTCAAAAAGCATTCAGTTAATAGGAATAACTTAATTAACTACACTTTGTATTTATTATTTTTCTTAATGGAAATGAAAGAGCTAAATTTTATCCCAACTCAACTAAGATCAAAGACTGTCATAAGCAGAAGCATCTCACTTATTAAAAAGCATATAAACGACATACTAAGCATAAGAATATAGACTCTAAAGAAGGGAGATGAATAAGAGGAGTATTTTTTAAGATTTTGGAGAAAATATTTAAAAGGTAGATCGTACTTAAGCATATGTGAAAACAAATTAAGCAAATTGAGGACGATAAACTATAAGCCTCAAGTATGAAAAAAATAAAATTGGTAGAGTGTATTTACCCTGAATGGGCCTACCAAGCACGAATCCAATGTAAGTATCGGATAGAAAACCAAAAAAAAAAAAAAACGCTAACTCTATTTCATTCAAATTTAAATAGAAAAAGATAAATTCAATTATTACGAGTCAGACATTTTGCAAACAAAGACACTAAAAAACTGTGATATATCCCTTTCAACTGTTCTACAACAATGTCACTATGGGAAATCCCAGCCTTCTGTTCTTCTACATCGTTAGTTTTCCAGACAATATAATTATGAGAGAACTGAGAATGCCAAAAGTGAGGAACAGGAAATGTCAAAATAAACATCTATACCCTCTATATACGTCCACCCAAAATCATGTGCGTTGCCTAAAATTACAATGGAATCAACGTTTTCAGCCACCTAAACCTGCTTAAATTAAATATGGTGTTGCTTGCCCACGTTTGGAGGGCAAAAGTTAAATTACCACCGAGACATCACTGCATTAACTGTCAGCTGTCATCTTCTGATGATCCTAGTGCTGCTTCTTTGCGGGATTTTACATGCTCCATCAAAGGTTCAAATTCATCAGTCATTTAGAAGACTAGTTGTAGATCCGAACAGGCTTGTCAAAAGCGGGTCGATTCTGCAGTACCAATATGAGCCAGTTATACACCAACTAATATAGTGTTATCACTTGTGAATTAGTAGTACTGCATTATTAAACTGGCTTTGGGTTGGCTTAATAAATAAATGTTCTGATTTTTAATTTGGAAGGTAAGCCAAACAATATGTTCCTGAATTCTAAACAGGTTAATCTCACTGTGGTAGGATCTCAGTACAAAAGAGCCACTGATCCCACAGGTAAAAGATCAAGAGAAACCAATTTCATGCAACCAAGAATCGCCAGCCATGAAGTAATCTTATAAAGTAAATATATATATAGCATATATTCACGTACACAAAAGTATTCAGGTTCATTAGCATGTTGAAAGCTAGAGCGAGTGTTGCATTAAATTAACAGATGGGGCTGATTATTGCTCAACCAGCGTCAAAAGATATCTCAGAAAAAAGGACCTCAAAAGAAATTTAGCTGTTATATTTTTGCATTTCAATGATTAAAGACTTGTTGGTCCACTTGGATGGTTGCCTTATACGCCCATAATCACCAGCATAACAGAAAAAGTGGCATACCTGGTTGGAAGCATATGACCTTTTAGGACCATTGTCAGCATGCTCTAATCCCAGATACTGCTCCCAAGCACCATAAACATCTCTCCTCTGGAAACCAATTAGGAAATAGAATAATCAAACATTATACAAGGACTACCGAGGGAGAATATGGACGGAAAAGGAGCAAATACCTGAAAACGAATGGATACAATATCTGAATCCCGGAGGTAGTCAGGACGGCCCATGGACACAAACGCAAACATCCACTGCATAGTGAAAGTAGAACGTGTAAATAACTAGAATAAATAAAACACATGAACCCTCTATACTAATACTGAACGTGTAAATAACTAGAATAAATAGAACCCATGAACCCTCTATACTAATACTGAACCTAGAAATTTTCCAAGATTACTCGGTATAGAAACAACGATGCAAAGTAAGGAAGCTTGAATACCTTTGAAAACTCCTCATCTGGAACCTGCAATTTTCTCTGAATGCGCGCTTTAACTTCAGCCAGTGTCTCACCCTCATGAATAACCAGAAAAAATGGCTCGCCAAAGTTTTGTACATGCTGCTAAGGGATGGAATAAAAAACAATTAACTGAGGATAGAACCTCCACCATATACACTGATTGTAACTATAGCTATATATATATCAGGCACTTATCAATTTCGACAGATGTACTTACTGCTTGATTTTGAGTTGTGTCCTTTGTAAAATGGTAAACATGAATCAAGCGATCAAGAGGACCCAGGTTTTTCTCCTCTTCAGGGATCTGTAATGGAGAAAAGTTAAGACATTAATTAGATAAACATCTAAGAAATGTAGACAATATTACAACTCTAACTGAAGGCTATAAACTTAAGTTGATTCATCTCCAGACATGTTTTTCTCTTTATTGGTGAAGACTTTAGACCTTTTTCTTCCCTGATTTATTTGGTCGGTCCAGTCCATAAGTATATACGTGGAGAAATAAACAGGACAACACCAATGACCTAAGCAAAACCCTTAGGACCAGCTGGACCGTAAAACACCAATGACCTAAGCAAAACCCAAAGGACCAGCTGGACCGCAAATACTCAATGTTGCCCGCACAGCAGCACCACAACATTAACGGAAAGAAGTGCAGTCATCCATCACTACACACTTTATTTGCAAAATATGACAGCAACAACTAACACGAAAAATCTCATCATTCGTTTCAGTAAAACTCAAAGTTAAGTGCATCAGAAGGACCCTTGCTTGGCTGCAGGTTGATATTGTTCATCCTTTTGTAATCGCCTTAATGACCCCTTCTTACTATCCTGCCACCAAAGTTCGTCACTTCCGTCAATCCACTAAAATGTTCAATTAGATTAATAAATTCAGCCATCCATCGAATTTCCCAGTCAATGAACTGCCATCTGAAGTTGAATCTCCACTCTTCTGATGACCGTAGCTCTGCTATGGTGCTATGTTGCTAATATCCTAAGGAGTGTATCTCTGAGAACAGCCTTTCTAGGTTGTCTGCCTCATGCCAATCAT